CCTACAAGTGAGTTCTAGAATGGAACAGATGTACTAGGATTCAGAATGAAATTGCCGTAACAACAATGGGATTGCATTTTATAGCATCGCACGTCTCATCGGTATAGAAATGCGAGAGTCTTGAACACGGGTGGGGTTATCTATAATATAGACAGAAAATGCTGTGTAGTGGAACAATACAGGACCTGCACGAACTGACGGCAGCGAATCTGCTGTTGAGAATATGCAGACATGCAATCCGGAGTGGTCTTCGGATTCAACAGCGGGTGGCGGCGGGTGGAGTTCAGCACGTGACCGGCTTCAACAAGACAGCAAGAGCTCTTACACAAACTATATCGTCATAGATGGTGGGAAATTTTATGTTTTTTACTGTTTTTTCAAGAATTAGCTCAGCCATAATAATGTACCAATGCACTTCCTGATCGTGTACAAACATGCATGATACCAGTGAGCACGTGAAGAGTCAAGATGACGTCAACATGTTGTCAACAGCTTATTCCAACATCATAATTATCAAAATATATTCAAGCCAAAATTGCTCAAATCATTGCTTCACGGGAGAGGCCCATGTATAAAAGCCACTGCGCTTCTCTCTATCATTATCCCACCACTTCTGTTTCGCAGAGGTCTCTTTTCAGGATCCCACCACCTGCATCAGTTCCAAACTGCTGCAGCTATTGGTGGGTGAAAAAGGTGACTCATTCACGAGTTCCCAGGGGGACGAGGAAAACGGTTTCCCTCGATGACACATCGGATTCTCTTATTCTGTCGAATCTGACATTCATCAACTTGGAAACAATACCCATCAAGGGCAATCTAGCAGACATGGCGGCCCTGACGAGTCACTTTCTACTCTTGACCTGGGCTCTGCTCTTGTTCATGTCATTTAACTCCAGCGAGCAGGCCAGCTTGCTCCGAGATGAATTTTACAAGGACTCGTGACCGAACGCCGAGTCTGTGATCAAAGCAGCCGTGGACGCTGAGTTGGACAAAAATCTGAAGCTAGCCGCCGGCCTCATCCGCATGCAATTTCACGACTGCTTTGTTGAGGTAAGTGAAGTCAATTATCGATGATAAATTTATATGGATAGATTTTTTTATTCTCAGTAGCAGTTTGGCTTCTAGATCTGGCACATGAAGCTGTAGAGCAACAGTGCGGGGTGACATAATCGAAGTTCCATATTGTCAAGATATTATATCGATTCCTTTCATCATCATTAACGATTTTTCTTCGGAGCAGGTCTGCGACGCCTCGGCGTTGCTGGATGGAAACGACACAGAGAAAACCGCTCCCATCAACTCGAACCTCATCGGCTACGAAGTGGTCGATGCCGCCAAAGAAGCCGTGGAGGCTATATGCCTCGGGGTTGTGTCTTGCTCCGACATTCTGGCCTACGCAGCTCGCGATAGTACTGTCAAGGTATGAGGCCGAAGCAAATCCAGAGACATCGAATTGAAGCGGGAATATCTGAACATGTGATGCAGATCAGATTCGTTTCCCATATGGATATATATATATATATATATATATTCATTGTCTTCTGTACATCTGACATATCTGTCGACAGATTAAATGAGCGATGCGTCCACATTCCTTCTCTACAGATTCTGATTATTTAAAGGCTATGGATTTCGTAAGTATTTGTGTTTAGTTCCACATATTGGAACTCTGATGCTGGGTTCTGGTTCGTCTCGTCAGCTGAATGGAACGGGCTGGGCCGTTCAAGGAGGGAGGAAAGACGGCCTCTTCTCCTGCGCCGAAGCTGCAGAACTGGAGCTCCCACCGCCAACATTCAACGTTGCTCAGCTCATAGAGTCCTTTGCCAGGAGGGGCTTATCCAAGAAGCAGATGGTCATTCTCTCAGGTCCGTCTCCTGCATCAGTAGCAATTGTAAATCTATTAGAATCTAGTCATCACCTGCTGTGAATTTCAGACTTTCATGTCAATGTTCAATCAATGATCTCGAATCCTTCTGATCTCACCACAAGATTCCTCTTCCTGGCAATGTACGAGCTTTCTCCAGGATCCCACACAGTAGGAGTCGGCCACTGCGACAAATTCGTCGAGCGCCTCTACAACTTCAGCGAAACCCATTTCACCGATCCTTCGATTAATGCTTCTTACGCGGAGCAGTTGAAGACAGACTGCCCGCAGGCCACATTCAACACCACTCTCGAGATCTTCATGGACACCATCACGCCCGGTGAGTTCGATGCCAACTACTACAAGGGGCTCTCGGAGCACAAAGGATTGTTCACGTCCGACCAGTCTCTGTTCGACGATAGGCGCACCAGAAAGCTGGTCAAAAAACTGATGAGCGAGCGTGTGTTCGACCGTCAATTCGGCGAAGCCATGCGCGCAATGGGCGCCGTAGTAGTGAGAGCCGAAGGCCAGATTCGCCGAAACTGCCGCACAGTGAACCCATGGTGAGGTTGCGAATCAGAAGCTGCACCTTCTGATGGAAGCTAGGAAGGCGTGCATGTAAATAATTCTTCGCAGCTTGAACAAGCTGCTCCAGAGTGCAAGTTTTCTGTCCGAGTCCGACTTTGGAATAAAAAGATTCAGTTTCAATAAAACTGTACACAGCCTATGACGGCCAGTTCTATCCTTGCATCATTTGACGAATCCAAACTTTAATGTGCACTACGTTGTGGCTGTGATGGATGGATGTATGGCAAGTTTTGGCATGTGGAGGACCTCGTTCGATCTGAAGTATATTGTTGTTGATAATTTTGTATTGGTCAGCCGAAGTGTCGTTGTTGTAATTTTTCATTTTTTTACTTCAAACCTGTCGTTCGTATATACACTAAGCATACCTTTGCTCTTCTTTGGAAAACTAATCCAATCAATCCTTTCATGTGTTCGTCTTTCCCTTGGATAGTATAATTGAGTATTGACCTGCCAGCTTAGCTAAAAGAAGAAGGAGAATCGCAGCAGTAGGAGCAGCATCGCAGCAATTAAGCAATAGGAGTGTATTTTAGACTAACCACTTCCTAATCGTTTGTTTCTGTTGCAATGTCGAAGAAACCTGAAGGGAAACGCCTGAATGAGTTCAAGTCATGCCATATATTAGAGAAACTCAACAACACGGATAGTATCATTGAAAGGGTTCTAGCGGGAGAGTAAGATGTTATCGAAGAAGCTATTTAGGAATATTATGGGATAAAGAAGAACGGATACTAAGGAGAATTGAGAAGCTATTTACTTTAGGTTATGAAGCTAAAGAGTTTCACCTTCAACCCGAACTCAACCCAAAAAACCGGGTATCCATGATCGTGAGAGGACGGCGAGGGAGAATCAGGAAATTGGAGCTGAGAGTATTTTGTTGATGAGTAGGCGATGCGAGAATTTTTCGAGTAGTCAGGACGAGCAACACAGGTGGCGCAGCGGAACGAGCAAGAGAGCGAGTGCATGCATCGCATAGAGCAAGGTGCGCAGCAGGCCGGACGAGGAGGAGGATGTGTGCCAGACACAAGAGGAGGAGCACAGTTTCGCGAGACGGAGTGGAATCCGATGCAGACTAGGACAGACCAGCTGGGCTTGCAGCCGAGTCGTTGTTTTACTCACTTCGGATATCTCCCGTTCTTTTCATCGGCAACCTTCAATGATTTAAAGAACGTTCCGCTACTGACACTTGAAAAAGATTCGCGAGGATGCTTTCAAGGTGTCGTCGCTTATTGCAGCCTTTAATCTCTCTGCTTTTTTTTCTTACAAGAAAGTCTATCCATGAGATCTCGGATAACGAAACATCGGCCCGTCAAGCTTAATTTTCGGGTCGGTTACAGCCCTCTACCCAAACCCAGACCCAATCCTAACTCGGGTTTTCGGGTTTTACCAGAACCCGATCGGAGCCCTACTTGAAGACGTGCTTTTCATCTGAATTTACAGCATGGATTTCCGGCATGCTTTGTGTCAATCTCCCTATTTCGAAATCTTTTGAGATTCTCTAAAACAAAATATATTCCATGGAGTTTATAGATTCTGAAAATAAACTTTAATTCATCCTGGTAATGGCTAAGACAATTCACTTCGCACCAAGGGTCACAAGATATGTTGTTTCACGAATAGGGTACTAAAGTCAACAAATCCTATTTTGGATTGTTGAAAGTTTTAGACGAACTCTATGCTTTTTATTGACCAATATGATCTGAAAACGTCTACAACATTGACAATACCCGCTTGTTTTTTCCAATGCCAAATGAGTGCATATCAACCACCAGCGAGAATAAAACAAATCCATTTTATAACTCAATCATCTTCAAAACTTGCATCAAATGACAATCTATGACGTGTTGTGGTAAATAAATCTGAACCTTTATTTTTTGGAAAATAATGCGTACTTAACGCGGATGCGAACTTCAACGGGGAACTACTGTAATTCATCGAAGTTGGTTGCAAATATATTTTATCTCTTTCCGTTTTCCACTAAGTTTTAAGATACTTTCGGACTAAATTGTTGTGAAGTCTTCCCATAGACGAACATAATTCTTCAATATCCTCGCAGAATGTCCGATGGTTCAAATTTTAACCACTTGCCGGAATTGTTGATAATTAACAAGGCACGTAAATATCTTGACCTTGGACATCTAGAGCTATTGTAGTGAGTAACTCAGTTCCCTGAAAGAACGCCAACCGCAGTTGGGAAGACAAGTACAGGAAAAGCCAGCACAGCGAACTTTCGTGGATAAGAACCATGACCGAAGAAAATGATGGACGGAAGGGCTGCTATTCTGTACTGTCGTGGAGTAAATCGATCCATCCGTCTTCCCATCCGTCCATCCATCCTCCCATCCCTCAGATCCTATCGATCTGTCCGGTGCAGCTGGTTCCCAGATACGCAGACCTCGAAATGCAGGACACGTGGCAAAAAAGACCCGAGCAGGATGGTGACGTGCTCATGAGGTGGCACTCATCGAGTGCCTCCTGGTGACGAAGCACCATTTGCGATCTTCCCTCTGAAAGCAGCGCCTCCATTTCCTTCACTCGTTCTTCTTCCATCGATGGATTCCGAGCGAGGAGGGTCCGATCGTGATTGCAATCGAGTGCGATCTCTTTATTTTCGACTCTCGATCGGGTCGCAATCTGGTCTGCCGACGGCTTGGGGCGATGAGAATGGCATTTATCACCTCAGCGATTCTGGAAGTCCCGCAGGAATCTGAATCCCGTGCTGGCCACGGGCCGAGGACCATGATTTATCATCATTGCGGTGAAGTAGACAGGGAGCACGCGATGACCCCCTGCCTCATCGGAAGACACTTTTTACAGACGTCGTACTTCGTGGAATCTCTCGAGAGTTCGAGGAGGTAGAATCAGAAGATTTCGCTGCCCTGCCCGTATCTAGGCGATGCCACGGCATGCTCTTCGAGTGAAGTCTCGGGGCGCGATGTTGTGTTCCATGGCAGTTTAGTCTCGTGTCTTTCATGGACCATCGAGAGGTCAAAGAGTCTGAAGTCGGAACTGCAGAGAGAGAGAGGTGTTTGCTGCTAAAAGGATGCAATGAGGTGGCGGACGACGAGAGAATGGCAACTATGTCCACGTTTTCTTACCTGCTTGCGTGCTCGCCTCTCCACCCGCTTCCTCCTGCTCCTTCCCCAACCCATGTCCGATAGAGTCCTCCTGAAAGATACAGCCATCTTCCATACACAGTCGTCATCAGCCTCCATACTGCATGGCAAATTAGCAACTTGCCGAGGATTCTCAGACGCTGAGGTGGAAATTTCGTGATTCATACGGTCCTTCCCCAGAAGACAAGCCCCCGAGGTCAGATGTTTGCATTGTGGTTTGACATGAAAAGACGAAGGGCTCGGGGAAGGAGATTGAATGCACTCTCATTACGTGCCACTGTATAGAAAGAAACGTGGATCAGGACCTTACCAGCTTGGAAGGCACGTCCAGGGACCGAGTTCCCGAGCCGAAGATCTGCAGTTCAGAAAGACACACGAGCGATCGAGATGGGGGCAGATCTGGCATCGACGTTTTCCATGGCATTCTTGCCGGTTGCCAAACTGTTGCTCACCTGTGCATTTGGAGCCTGGCTTGGTTCCAAGAGTATGCAGATTTTGACGGCAGAAAGTCGCAAACACATGAACATGGTATTTGTTCAACTCATGGCAGGGACTAATGATTTCATTGCTATCATTCAAGTTGGATTCCTGCCACCTTCCCACTGAATTCACACATACATAAATGTCTGTGGCAAGCCTTGAAAGGAGACCAACCCGACTGTACTGTCCCTTCCTTCTGCAACTGGTATGAAAGTAAACGAAATCTGAGCCATGGAGCGATTCTCTTACTTCCTGGTTGCAGATGGTCTTCCTCGCATACACGCCAGCATTGGTTTTCTGCAAATTGACTTACGCAGTTTCTCTCGAAAATCTACTAGCCTGGTAAAAACATCAACAACTTGCCTAAGCTTTAAATTTCACTAAGTTCATGGACCTTCCTGTTGATTCTTCCAACCCAAACACGGCCGCTGTGAGACCTCCACAATAATGTAACAGAATTCAGATACGTTTCACACATAGGATCGTCACTAAAAACAAACTACAGAGGTGTGGGTGATGTTTCCCCCGCCGGTAGCTCTGCAGTGTACAGATTCCGACGACTGGGGATGGCTTCAAGGAAATTTACCATGAAGAATCTTGTATGATGGTTGTGCAGGACTTCCAGAATCGAAACAATATCTTACGTTTTTAGTTTAAACACCTAAGTATCGCTTAAGTAATAAACACTACGCAGATTGTGTAGGACAGTCTTTTCCCATGATTTGCCATCAATCTCTCCGGTAGTCTTCAACCTACAACTATATCAGACCCAGCAAAGTGGCCGCCAAATTATGCTAGAACTAAAAAGTTTGACAGCATCTCTATGAGCTCAGAAGAACACATGTGGGAAGTATGAACGTCTGTCCCTTGTGTGTAGGTGGTACATGCCCGTGAACGTGATACTGTGTTACACCATAGGGAGTGGTCTTGCCTTCATCGTAATAAGTGTCACAGAGCCACCACCACATCTGAAGCCCCTCATTATCGCTTGCTGCGCCGCAGGTGAGTAGACTTTCTGTTGCGAAGGTCTTTTCGAGTCAAAATTTCAAAGCTCTGTATAGTTGGAAGTGTATCCCGTTTTGTGGAGGCAAGGTGAATGAGCGCTCAGTATATCATCTCCACATCTACATGAACACGTGGAGATTAGGCTGATCTCGACAACAAACTTATTCGTTTGACCTGATTACCACTCCTATTGTGTCTCATGCTCTCACTAGAGATCTTCCTTGATGCCGAAGGGGTGGCAGTATGATGCTTGACGGGAAATCGACAACTGTTGCTCTCTGACAGAGAGTCTCTCAAAGCATTGTAATGCAGCAACTTGATGCTGACTGGGTCAGGCTTGTGTCTGTTTGGTGTATCTTCTTCTCTGCAGGTAATATAGGTAATGTGCCTTTGGTCCTCGTTCCGTCAATTTGCTTGGAAAAGGACAACCCGTTTGGGACGATGGAGACATGCAGCAAGAATGCGGTTGCGTACGTTTCCTTCGGGATGTGGGTATGCCCGTGTAATCGGAAGTTCCTGTTGAAGCAACTTCCTAGACAACATTCCTAACCACTTGACGTCACAAACTAATATTAAAGAATGTAATGGGTGCAACATTCAGTTTTACACGAAAAAGTGAAAACTTTGCGGATATTCATGGGTCAGTTAAGCCAACGCATGGCCCTCGTGAATGGATGCAGATGGGAATGGTTCTGACATGGACTTTTATCTACAACCTTCTCCGACCAGTAGACCAGAAACCCAGCGGAAATGCCGTTCCATCGGCTGGCAGCAGTAGTGTGGGTTCCCCACATTCGAGTGACTTCGGAGAATTTCAAGCTGGGCTTCACCACAATGAGTTTCAGGACATTGGGTTCTCGAATCAGGTCATGGCCAACAACTGGAACGCTTCGGCCTCCAATTTTGCAAAGCCTCAGGTACCCCCACCCTTCGATCCACAGCCCCAGTCACGTCTGTTATGATCGAGGCAAGGAGCCACAGCTTTGCCAAAGTGTTGCTTAAAGTGTTACTCAAAGCTTTGCTTTGAATCCTCATCCCCCTCCGAGATGAGGACTCTCCACAATTTGCACAAGGCGTTTGCGTCTTCACTTCCTCCAGCTTCTCTTAATGCTCACACGGTACATTTGATCTCTCAGTCATGCGAGAACTCAGTTAAGTTGGCTGCGTAGAAATTGCGTGACCGGTCACTGTTTTGGTGAGTCCTGTGAAGTCGTATCGCTCCCATTACAGGACCAAAAATGTCTTCTTAGGTTTGTTCTGCCCACGCGACCCGAAAATCTGATTCCACCTCATATTCTGGCACCCATGTAAACCTTTTCCGTGTGGTAGAGCACGATGCCGGAAGAGTAGAATAAGAAGCGTGTGCGATCAGAAACACTTTGCTGAAAACACCTCAAAGCAAGACTTATTGCGATGTCAATCTGACGATATGTACCAAACTGTCTGGGTGTATGGTTGCAGAGTCCCCCACTTGTCTTGCCTGAGGTTGTTGCCCCCGACCTGAGGTCGGATCCCAAGGGCTACTTCATGAGTATTGCTCAAAAGTACGATCTCAAAAGAATCTTCACTCCTCCAACTGCTGCAGCGGTACTCATTTCGTTCTTTGCATGAATCAGCCACGTCTCCACATGTCTTGAGTAGCAGAAATTTGAGAAACCACGACATTTGCAGTCAGTCTGAGTTCTCCAAACTCCGAATTCACATCCATTCAGCCCTTGGTCACAACTCACTTCACCTGTGATTCTCCCTCTCCAACTTACCAGACAGCTCAGCATTATAAAAGCCCTGCAGAAATGTAGCACATTATACATACGTACTCTTGCGAACTCCGTAAGAGCAGATCCTCACACTTTCTCAGTTGGTATTAGAGAAACTCAATTGAGTGGATTTTTTGAGATTTCTCAGAACTCTAAAGATGCTCCCGTGCGTCCAATGTGCTCACAGCTGTCACAAGTCTGCAGGCTGTGATACTCCCGCGGCACATTGTTTCAAGTAAACTGAGCCATAGGTGGACTGGATGCAGCTGGCGGGCTTGACCGTAGGATTGATACCGCCACTGAAAGCCTTGATGCTCGGACCTTTACGAGCGATCACTGACTCTGCTGACATCATCGGGTATTTGCTAAATTCGATCGTCAGAAACTGAGAGATCGTTCAGAGATGATGTAAAGTCAGCTGTCTGGTCGTCGATTGTTAGTCGGCCCGTGCATGAGGTTCTGTTCTAACTTCCAGTGCATCGACTGTGCTCACGAAAGGTGGATCCAAGGTCAGGTCAGTTCAGGTCTCGCAATGCGTTTGCTAGCTAGCCGCTGAACTCGTTGCACATCTCGTCAATGAATCGTGAGCTGTTCTTGCAGACAGGCGATGATTCCAGTCATGAACTTGGTTCTCGGTGCGAGCCTTGTGCAAGGTATCAAACAGAACACTGCCCTCGATAGAGCTCTCATCTCCACGAGCAACGTGAATTGTTAGAGTTACAGTTAGAGAACTGGGTCATTATGGACTTAATCAGGGAAGCAACTCCTGTTCTCAGAGCACAAGCACAAGCACAAGCACTTGAGTGAACGAATGCCTCGGTCCCTGACTCTGCAAGAAGAATGACTGCAGGAGCTTCGACCTCAGAACTGCCGATGAAGACGATCATGGGGATCATAATCGTTCGACTTTGTGCGCTGCCCGTCATCGGCATGATGATGATCAAGATCGCGCATGATTTCGGATTTCTACCGGAAGACCCGCTGTTCCGGTTCGTTCTCATGGTTCAGTACACAATGCCCACGGCCATGAACGTAGGTCCGTACTCCCTGACCCCACGATGTCCCCCAACGCAGTCCACGTTCGAGGCTCCCGCTGATCACCGCAGTACTCTCGTCATGCGCAGTTCGACCCTCTCGTCTGCTAGACGTCATCTGAATCGGTGTCGGATGTCCCTCACTAAGACTTCTTTTTACTCGTCCAGCATTCTTGTGGGCATTCTCAGGTTCTTCAATCTATGTCGCTTTGCGTCGAAACAGTTCAGTCCTTCAGCATCTGGTCAATTTGTTCTGGGTCCGAGGTATCCTAATGTCTAGATTACGGATTTATAAGGAATCCTTACCTCATTGAATGAAATATGGAATTTCATTGTAATGTTTTGTCTAAAAACGGTGCTTGTTAAATTCTCGAGCGGAAGTCTATTTACTGTGTACTTCTCATAGACAGAAATTTTCTTCAGTGTATGAATCTCCCTTTCACACGCTACTGATTCCCTACTGCCGTTTTACGCTCGCTCACTGGACTCACCGCCTGTCGAGGGCATTGGTAGAAGATGGATGAAAAATGATAGTTCCTGACATTTGGATTCAAGATTCAAATTCAAGGAGGAACTTAAATATCGTCCGTAAAAGACAGAATGTCCGGTCATGTACATGCAAATTTTTGTAATACTACCCTGGTGTTTTAACTGTTAATCTCACATTATTAGACCTACATTATTGGACAGTCCACTTCTATACACAACCTCTTACAGTACATTTGACTATATAGTTGTCGGGATGCCAGAATATATCAGGTGCATTAAAAACAAAAATAAAAAAGCTTTCTCTACTCACGTCGGTTCTACCAAAATACGTACCCAGACGGAAATGTTTCACCTGCAATGCAATGCGTACAGGGTGAAAGGGTAGGGTATAATTCATATAAGGTGAAACATTTCCTTCTGGTTACCTACCTCGTTAGAAACAACCTGTGCAGGGAGATTTTATTAGAAGGTATAAGTTAACCAGTCTAAACCAAAGAAAGTTGGCGAAACCTGTGTTCGCCAACTTTTCATACCCTATAATATGCATGATGCAACTTAAATTAATGTCATCACTCTTGACTTCTTCGTCCACGTAGCCTGGGGCCAAACAGCAAGACTTCTCCTGTGAACTCCCCTATTGCAGTTAGCGACTAGAACATTTGCACAAGCCGAACGTAATCTGCCTGTAAGTACATAAATATCATGAGTCCACGGTAGTCAGCCCTATCGTTTAATATAAGTGTTTCTTCGCCTGGGTATGGTTCTATGCAGGTACCGTCGCGCAGCTGCATGGGGTCGGTGAGAAAGAGGTGGCTCTCATACTCTTCTGGTCTTATGTCACAGCTTCAGTTTTCATAACGATATGGGTTTTGGTTTACCTCGAATACACATTCTCATGACGAGTACTCTACGGAACTCAACAAGGGTGTGGGCGCAGTATTCTCTTCTCACAGGTATGAGATTACTTAACACTTAAACTGATCTTTAACCCCTTCAACTTGCAACTTAAGAGAATCGTTCTCTTGACTTCTGCGTGTCATGGGCAGAACAACACAACCTTCCCAGAGAATACCGGGAAAATAACACAAGGACTACCTGACATGATAGCAGAATACAGGCTCATTGGGAAATGTGAACAGAAAGAAACCCCAGGAAAGAGTATCGGAGCACACAAGCTTGACGGGGTATCCTCACAATGCTTCGGACACTTCTGACTACACTCCAGACATGTCCGACCAATATGTCAGTCATTACAAAATCAATTTTTGCAATCCCGAGGCTTCAGCCATTATGTAACCCGTTCGGGGTCCTCTATGAGTTGTCCTCGAAGGAAAAAAAGCTCTTCGTACTGTGGAAGTCGTTACGCATTCTTAACGGACATTCCGTACAGATCAATATAGACCACTTGACCAATCTCATGTTAAGACTTCCTGCAGTACCAGGTCTTCGACCATGACAAAAGCAGAATTGAGGAGCAGTGGAAAAGGTCGGGCCTGCATAGACAGCGTGTAGCTGCAGCCTAAACAACGTTGATCCGAGTAGCAGCAAAGGTCAGGACACGATTGGGGTCTTTGTGATTGAAATTGGACATTCACTGCAGTATGTTTCTCATCGTAATAAAATAGAGATCTCAAACGTGACGTCACATCAAAGCAATACGCGCTTGCAATCATTGTGCAATCAAGCACACAAACGTGAAACCACCTGTAACTTGAAAGACGGCATGAAATGCGGGTGAAGTACAAGATGGTTAGTTTATAGGATAATCTTACAACATTCTTGGTTAAGGAAACTTGACAATTGCTCCAAATTTGGAGACGAACTTTGTATTCATATTTGCAAATTAAGCAGGAACTGGTGCAGGTAGTGGCTGTAGTGCCTTCAAAGGATTAGAGATTACAGAATCGATAAGCCCGTACTCCTTGGCCTCCTTCGCACTCATGAAGAAATCCCTATCAGTGTCCGTCACGATCTTCTCAAGAGGCTGCCCAGTGTGGTAGGCGAGATAACCATTCAAATTTGCCTTGTGATGCAAAATTTCATTAGCCTGGACATGTTAAACTGCAGTCAGTACCAGAAGAACATAGCAGCTTGCGCAGTCTAAGACCCCAATTTATGACCAGCCTTGTTCTCATGTAAGGGGCAGAGAAGATGTAAGAAGGTCTAAAATGGAAGTCCTTGTCAATGCCATAATCGAATAATTCATTACCTGAATCTCAATGTCAGTTTGTTGACCTTGAGCACCTCCAAGAGGTTGATGAATCATAATTCGCGAGTTTGGTAAACTGTATCGCTTTCCTGTGCATATGAACACAACAGTCAATCAGTAAGAAATGTTGGGCAGAGTCACAACAATTGGCGTATTGATGGAAAGCACAGTCGGAACTCGTGCATCGCTTGAAAACCAGAGAGGGTTCCCAAAAGTCTTAGCGAAGACAGAACCTTTGGTGCCACCGCTGAGAAGGAAAGCTCCCATACTGCAAGAAACAACACGTATTGTCAAAAATGAAAAACCTACAAATGTAAACGACGGTTCTTAAAACAACTTGCAGAGCGACAGCTACATTTCATTCCCTGGTGACACTGGCAGGGAACTGTCAAAGCGTGAGCTCCATGAGACAAACCTTCGGACGACGGGTATTAAAATGCACGGCTAAGGAAGAACTAGAAAGTTCCTCCACATACTCTATTGAGCACCAGAATATTTCACTGCTCATTCGAGCCTGAAGATCTTCCATTATATAAATTGACCAAATGAAACCAGAAATCAATTTTGCAGACCAGTATAACGGTAATTTACGCAGGTTCTCATTGTGGGCATAACATACCTAGCGGCTAATCCCACACACACAGTGCTCACATCAGGCCTTATGTGCCTCATTGTATCAAAAATTGCCATTCCTGCATACACAAGAGAATTATGAATCATGAGATCACTCGTAGATATTAAAATCTGGAGCTTAGCATATAGGGTTAGACACATGTTAGGCTATTGCAAGATGGTAGCAGCTCTGGAACTATCGCTGCGGGTAAACAACACAGCCTGAAGTAAAATCAAGCTTCAGATATGAAAACTTTAGGTCGATTCATGTTCGCATTTTTTAACAGAAAAAAAGGGAGGGAGAGAGATCACACCAGCTGTGACAGAACCTCCTGGAGAGTTAACGTACATGATGATGTCCTGCAGCAGAGAATAATAAACAGTGCTTTCAGTAAGCTCTCACAATTGCATCCAGACCAATAAGCGCCGGAGGCGAGATACTGACGAGAGACAATGGACTCCAGAAATTAATTTTTCGTACGGCTGACAAATGAATTATTTCGAACACAGAAGTCTGTTTTGCGAGCACGCAGAGAACAAGAAGAAGAAATTCCAACTAGTAGAAAAAAATAAGGATGTTCAGATTTGGTGTCTCACTCTGTTGGGGTCAGCGGCGTCAAGGTACAAAAGTTGTGCAACAATCAAATTCGCCATATCATCGTCGACAGCACCACCACACCTGATAATTCTCTGTGATACAAAAGCACAAATTACGTGATCAAAACTTTGTCAAAATACTGCATGTTCATTCTCTGCGTCGTTCTCAAACTAAGAGCCAAGAGAAATCAAACTCCATGGATGAAGACAGGGCGAAAGGGGAGGATAAAATTGGGCTAGTATTGTGAGATGCACATCCGTTAAAATTAAAATTCCAACAAGCACAAAGGCAATCCAGATACAAGTTGTTGAAAACTTTTCATATTACGTACATGTTGGAACAGCTGGGTGATGACGCTCTGAAATCGTTCCTGTACCATCGGTGGTGGTCCTTGCCCCTGGTTGGCATAAGGGCCAGCATACATGGATGTAGGCACATCGAGATCGTTCCTGCGCGTCACTTGTCCGAAGCAACAAATCAGGAACCACTAAGACGTGGATGACCTCTTCAGTCCGTTCTTGAGTTAGAAAAAAAACAGTCAAATGGAATCATATTGACAATCACATGGAAGTCACGCGAGTAAGCAAGCACACCTGATAGACCACACATCTCTCACAACATCCGATGATGGTGTCCATAACCTCTCGGATCGAATAGATGCCTGAGGAGCGATAATTCCCCTTCTACTTCTGCCAGAACGAAAAATCAAGAGAGTAAGCACAAGTCCGCAGCTGTGGCCACGTTCATCACAGTTCCATTAAGTCGAACCAATTGGTGCAAAAGCCGTGACACCACCATTCGCTTCCGTGAATGAGAAAACGTGGGCATTCAAGGCCACGAATGATTACCATTCCCTTCAAGCACAGATTTCCACCGCCTCACATAGCGGGAAGAGATAATTTCTACTACTACAAAAAAAAGTTTGATAGCCCAGGAACCCCACTAACGACTAGGTAAATCATAAACACCCGCCAAAGTGAGCAACACGAGCACGAACACTACAGCTGAACCAAACCCTCCACCCATAAACCCCGGGCGCGACGAAAACTCTCAAAACAGAAGAATCCCCAACACAAACCTGGACGACGAAACGAGAGCGGGGAGACGCAGCGACTGCGGCAACGACGATGGATGCCGCAAGGAAGCCGGGGACTTTCTCAAAGAGGATCCTGCGACAGGAGCAGCAACGGCGGCCACCGGCATGGCGGTACATGCATGCGCCATGGTTCGAATCAGCGAGGGAGCTCCACAAGCGCACGGCAATATTCTCGCTCGTCGGCCTTGCGAGATTACCAACAACAGCAAATGACGAACGCACTCGCCTCGCCCCTGCTGTCAAAGTCTGCACCTCGTTACGTTCTCTTGCTCGCTGTCGTGCTTTACTCCATCGTTCGTTCGGTGCTGGACTAGGGAGCGTGCGAGCGAATGGATCGGGTTTGGGTGGGGTGAAATTCAATCCTTTCGTCCGCTCCCGTCCCGACTGCGCTGGCGTTGCCACGTCTACCTCGTTGGCCTCCGAGCAACCACGGACACACGACTGGCGAGCAACATGGCGTGTTCGCTTCTACTGTGGTACCCTCTGTCGTGTCCGTCCACCGACTACGGTAAGCTGCTGCTGCAGAGTGACGTAGAGATTCCCGTGTGTGGGGTCAAAATCAGGCCTTTCAGTTCATCTTTAACTAGGGAGTGCGGAGGATGGTTTCTACGATGTCGTCTACTGTTTAAAAAGTGTTTGTTTTGAGGCAATTTATATCGGCCACGAAGAAATGTCTCATGTTGTAATCTACCAGCGAGGACAGATGGATGCTGCACAGAGACTGCCAAAAATACTGCCTTCAAATTCAACCGCAAATGTTGTCGACGAAATATCCTGCCATCTCCACCTATGCTCCTCAAAGAAGGAGTCGATTAAATTTGTAGGATTTTCTGAGTGAAGCCCTACAAATATCACATAATACACCAGCTAAATAATCTCTTCACAAGAAATTCCCGCTGTCCATCACTAAATTACTTTTTTTATCCATCATATCATTATTACCTATTGAAAGATATTCTTTCGGAATCTTATCTTCGTATCCGTTTTTGCATTTTTCATGACCATAAATTTATAATTCATTATCATAATATATATGAGCACATTTCAAATTTTCGTGCATGTAAATTGACATTTTTGTATATGAATAGGAAAAAAGTCACATTCTAACAAACTTGGAAAACTTGAATTTTCAAATTTATTTACATATCATTATGATCAATATCAAGATTTTATAACTAGCTATCTTACTTAAAACTATTTGTGCTTAAAATCTTCGTATATATAGTATAAAATCTTCGTTAACATATTTGTACAAAGTTTCATTAGAAGTTGAGCAATAAGTATTTTTCATTCCTGATAATAAATAAAATAGAAAGCTCTAATATCATCCATATGAACAGTTCTTTTTCAATGAGACTATTATCACGGGAATCAAAATCTATAAAATGCATTATGAATCTACAAGGTGTTATTGTAACTTCTTTCGATTGTTGATGTTATATTTACACAACAAAGAGTTTATACAATTTTGAACACTAGATTATAAACGTTTCTTGCAATGTACTTACTACAATTGATAATTATTTTTGAAATTGTATTTATATCCAATATAGCATAGAAAATTTTAGATATTTATTCTTATTTTTTGAAGAGTGAAGATAAAATTATATTGATTCAAAGCTTGAAATTGAAAAATAATTCATGTGTCATTTCTTTGCTTTTGTGACTTTGAGGTTAAATGTTACTATGAACATTGAAATAAATATCATTAATGTAAAATAAACAGCAATCCTAAACTTGTAATATAATAAGACATGGATTTACTTTTGAGATCATATCATATATCTGATTATAATTGACATGGTTTCAATACTCCAACTGAAAACTTAGTCATGCAAATCATTGTAGAGGATTAAAGCAATGAGATACTTTTTATAGTGTGGATAGATTTATCTTAATGATTTGAACATCTAACTTCACAATGACATACTTTGGTCAAACAAGATACTCAAAATTGATTATATTAGATACTAGTTTCACTTATCTCCTTGATTTACTTCCTACATGACTATATGCATTTTTTTTTACATAATATCAACTAGGTTTAAAAATTATTATTAAAGTTATTATTATATATCAAAATATGATTTTCATTCAATTCATGAGAACAAATGTAGTAATCTTCAACACTTTATGAATCTATATATGCATTTTATATTCAATACTTCAGATCATCAAACAATCACAAAATTTGTAATATCATCAATAATATTTCAAGGAGATTTGTGATGGTATCCATCCAGAACGTAAAACACTTGACGATAGCCTAAGAGATTCATTTTACTTCATGGAATACCCCACCCACGCCTGCACCCGACCGTTCTCTATGAGTCATTGTATTGAGAGTTCAACGATATATTTCAATTTATCTTAGAAGGGAGCTCGGAATGGATATCGACACTCGTTGACACAACTCCTGACCTCGTCTACGATTGATTTGGGCATGATTCAAAACATCACGTGATCAAATGCAAGACAGTAGCTAGTTAATTAGATAGTGAAGGAAAGGCTTAGAAGATAATTTTTTTTCTCCAATGATTTGATCATGCAATTTGACCATTACTTTACTTAAATTATGAGAATTGTGAATCACAAATTGTGCTAAAACTAAGCTATAATTTTGTTGAGAGTGGCACTTTTGAAAACAAAAACACACGTCACAAAATCACACACGTTACAAAAACTTGTAGAGTTACATTGATGACAGTGGGCCGTCGGAGTGGTCCCATCATGTAAAATAAAATGTCTAGGGTCTCGTCAAGTGTTTTGAGTTCACGATGTTTATCATTAAATAATTCTATCATATTACTTTTTATTTATGTCAAGACTATAGATTAATATGAAATAGATTGCACTATATTTATAATATTTTTTTGTGAAAAATATTAAGTTTCAACAAAGAATCTTCAAAATTTCAAATTATTTGATAAACAATACTCATTCATATTTTGTTTAATTTTGTAACCAAAATCTAACAAAATAATTGTTGATTTTCATACATTATACAATACATGTTTAATTTTATTGCCTTTCATTAAAGGTAAGTATGTTTATATATTAAAATCAAAATTAATGAATTGATAAACAAATATGTAATTAATAATAAAAAATATTATTTAAAAAATAATATGCTTATTTTTTTTAAATGAAAATTTCAAATTATACTAATGGAATTTGTAAAAGTTTATATTTTAATGAATAACATTTAATTTTAAAAATTATAATAATTTACAATCAATACATTTGTCATATTGAATTTATAAATATTTATTCAAATTATATATTTATTTTATATATTTGAATTATATATTTATTTTTCAAACTGGAAATATTAATTAGAAAATAGAAATGCAAAATTCAATATCAAAATGAAAATTTTCAAATAGTTATATAGAGAGGTAAAGAAATGCGTCTGAAATAAGTTTAGAGAGTTCATGTGTGGAGATTTGTTGCATATTGAAATAGTAACATTTTTTTTTCAGTATCTTGAAGTGTTAATAAATTTAGAGAGTTCATGTGTAGAGATTTGTTTCATATATGAAAGTGTGACGTTTTTTTTTCAACATCTTAGAGTGTTGATATGTGTGTGAATTTGAGTGATGAATTGATAGAATGTGTGAGAGGTTGTTTGATATATGAGCGTGAGGAACAATCCTAGTCTTTTAGAACCATGATAATCTATCGCAAAGTCATTTGAGTTAAACCTGAGTGAGAGTTAACCCGGAGGTTACAGTCCACGTCACGTCACGTAGCCACGTGTCTAAACCTCACGCGTCTTTATGATTGACGTGACGATTGGTGGGATGATGAATTGCTGGCTTAGATTGACGTGGCTTTTGGAGCGTTATGTGGCACCTGCTACATGATGACGTTACATACGGTGGGAGGTTGACGTGTCACTCAAGGAACAAAGAGGATTGTTGCGCACTGTGCATTTGTCCTCTGCGTGCTGTGATTGTGTCTTGAATGGATGCATCTGCTCGTCGCCAGCGCGCACTCGTCCTCGCTATCCAACTGTTGTAGCTCGTGCTCAATAGCAAACTGCTTTTCAATATCTTGTTATTAATCAAAAAATTTGTCAAAATTTCTCTATTTTTCAAATTATATGTTGAGTTTCTACCATCAATGCTTGGCTTGATCATCGCCTGTGCTCACAATCTGTTAAAAAATTTGAATTTCATCATCTGCATGCACTTGGTTCACACTCTTGCCGCCAACGCAATTTTTCTGAGATTTGTCAATTTCACCTCTGATCTTTCATTGATCATATCCATCAAATTACTAGTGACAATTGAAATTTCAATGCTCTGCACATCATACTCTCCGGGACCTTTGAAAGCACATATAGATGCACATCGACACAGGTAGAAATTTTTCATGCATTAGGTCGTCATTCGGGCATCCACCTGCTCACTTGTTGACTTTCACACAAGCTCCTTATTCAAACCAATTTGCGAACTATTAATCTACTTCCACAATCATTATGATTTAAGATAGAATTTTTCTCGGTTCAAGACACAACACATTTTTTGAATTTCAAGTCGATTGTAAATTGATATTGTATACGTGTAGCAAAACGCAGCTAAAATGCAAAACACCTCCCGCAAGACAAGTTTGATAGGAACTCTTCATTGTTGCCAGACGGTCCCAAATTTATATGTAGGTTTGTGTTAAGGTCTCAAACAGAGAGTCACTAAGTTCCAAAATCCTTATCAGATCGTCAAACTCCCAGCACATATGCGCTTAATTTTTCTTATGCAAAACTTTTACAAACCGCCAACAAAAGTGAAGCAAAAGATATACCATGCGCATCAAGATGAAGGACTGAAATCCAAGAGAACAGAACACCAGAACGTCAGACTAAAGTCCAGGGAAATTAATGAGTGGTGCGATTACCTTCTTGTAGATCGCGAGCAAGCAAAAGGGATGATAAATTTCTGGCGAGGAGTAAAGTTGAACAAACTATTCTTCTTGCTAGAAATTTAGAATAATAGTTTTCACTAAAGATTCTTGTTTTGTCAAAGTGAGAGAAATATGAAGGGCCAATTAATAATTTTCCATAGCAAGCAAACCGATAAGAATTCTTTCCACCACTCTACAAGCTTTTTGCATCTTCATTAGACACCATAACCCTGATTTTAATGTGATACTTCATCCACTCTTCAAAATATATCAAACAAAAAGTGAAGTATCATCGTGTTATACTCTAGAACCTAAACTTTGCAAAACTAAAAATCCTTTTGTCGACAATGAAGGAGACTCGGACCTTAGAGAAGTTACTTGCATCTGATTCATGAAGATCTTTTGGCTCCAAATGTGACTTTCC